TTGGCAGGGACATCTTCCACTAGACCAGGTTGCTCCAAGCCTCATCCAGCCTGGCCTTGAAGACATCCAGGGATGGGGCATCCACAGCTTCTCTGGGCAACCTGTCCCAGTGCTTCACCACCTTTTCCGTGAAGAACTTCTTCCTGATATCTAATCTAAACCTCCTTGCTTTCCATTTAAACCCGTTACCCCTTGTCCTGTCACTACAGGGCCTAGCAAAAAGTCCCCTCCAAGCTTCCTTGTAGCCCCCTTCAGGTACTGGAAGGCTGCAGTAAGGTATTCCCGGAGCCTCCTCTTTTCCAGGCTAAAAAAGCCCAATTCTCATAGCCTTTCATCATAGCAGAGATGCTCCAGCCCTCTGATCATTTTCGTGGCCTCCTCTGGACACGCTCCATATCCTCATATAACCGATACGCTCATATCGGTCTATATCCTTCCGATGTGGGCTCCACAGCTGGATGCAGCACCCCAGGGGGGGTCTCACAAGAGCGGAGTACAGGGGCAGAATCTCCTCCCTGGGCCTGCTGGCCACACTTCTGATACAGCCCCGGGTGCGGTTGGCTTTCTGGGCTGCCAGCGCACACGGCCGGCTCATGTTCAGCTTTCCGGCTACCAGTACGCCCAGATCCTTCTTCTCATAGCTGCTCTCTATCCACTCTCCACCCAGCCTGTCCTTGTGCTGGGATTGCCCCGACCCAGGTGCAGGCCCTTGCCCTTGGCCTTGTTGAACTCCATGAGGTTGGCAGTGGCCCACCTCTCCAGCCTGTCCAGGTCCCTCTGGATGGCATCCCTTCCCTCCAGCGTGTCACTGCCCCACACAGCTTGGTATCATCGGCAAACTTGCTGAGGGTGCACTCAATGCCAGCATCCACGTCACTGACAAAGCTGTTAAACAGTACAGGTCCCAATCCCGATCCCTGAGGAACGCCACTCGTCACCGATCTCCACTTGGGAGACATGCTTCAGAAAGTGTCACTGTGGAGGAGCAGTTCGTGGTGTGACCATGCTCACGTATGTGCTGCGTGCAGCACACTGGGCAAGGTGAGGGCGGAGAGCTGTTGCCTGCTCTGGGACCCAGGGCTCAGGCCCTAACTGTCTAAACTGGGTTCCAGTATGTGCCTTCCCAACCCCACGCGGAGTTTGCTGCTTGGCCATGCTGATGCACTGAAGAGTGACAATACAACCCTTTCAGTTGCTGTAGAAAAGCAGTAAACTGTGGCGAGGCTTGGCAGGGAGATAGTGAACAGGGAAAAACCCTGCTCATTTTCACACTGAAGGGTGTTTGGAGACTTGAGAGCGCTCTCACCTTATGTAGGTGTTTGTTTTCTTACTGTGACTGGGAGGTGAAGGTACTTGGAGATGAGAGAGCAGGAGGGAGGGACTGGTGCAGAGATGCTGGCCTTCGGGGCAGTCATGGCAGGTGTTGCTACAGGGTCAAAATGCAGACGGAGACTGTGGTAGCAAGTAGCCTACATACCTAGTTAGGTTGGTGCTGTGGACTTTTCAAAACGATGCATTTTTTCCCTAAATTAAGGAAAATTTCATTTTTTGCTTAAATTAAGTTCTAATGCAAGTGAACATTGCAGAAGACACTCTGAAGCTTCCACTTATCAAATAGCAAATGATTAAAACAAGTTAAAGAGATTCTTCGTGAGGAGCATGAACCTGGCTCCATACTTGGTTTGTGACGTTAGTTTCTGTGTCTCCCTGCCTGTTTTTTATGATGGGATAAGATTCTTCATAGTTTTGAAGAGTAAAAAGTAGTGGCATAAGCTCAATAGAAAATATAACAAAATTAACGTAAACCCCAACTGTAACGTCTAGTCCAGCTTGGTTGATCCTTAAAGGATCTTGGCTTTAGATGCTTTCTGGGAGGACAAACAGCTCGATGGAGCTTTTTGATTGAAGTCAGCTTTCTTGTATCATAAAAGAAAATCAGAACATTTCAGATAGAAAATAAATGCCTTGGCTCCAAATAAGAACACCAGTAATTTGATAGGCGATCCCTTTTTTTTTGTACTGGTTTTTGCAAGCTGTTTTATCTCAGTGCTGTACACTGCGGAAGTGCATTTGTACCCTGTCTTTACTCTGAACTGTTTCAGTTGCTCTTGAGCTTAATGTAATCAAAACATCTGGTCTAAACAGCTTACTGAAGCCAGAGCTGACTTCATAGCTAAGTGTATTTCTGGTTGGTAAAAAATAAGCTGGGTTAGTTAAACTGTTAAATGACATAATGAAGCTGACCAGTTGGGGCCGTTTCCGGACAGCAAAATTATCACTTATTTTCCGTGGAGATGTGTTAAGCTGTATTTGATCATGTTTATAGCATGCTACAAGGCAGGCATATTATTTCCCCCTGTAAACCACATCTGTCTATAAAGGAAAAATAATGCTGATTATAATAGAAACCGGCTTTTGTGGTAGGACTGTCTTAAGTAAACCTGGGAGTCCTGATGAAGAGCACAAGCATAAATCCTACACTGTCTTTAAATTAAAAGGATTTGCATCTTAAAGCTGTTCTTCAATGGTTTTGAGTCTTACATGATGTGCACTTTTCTTCAGTGTAAGGACATCTAAAATTCTGTCTGTAACTTTTTTTTTTAAATGTTATTTCAGTCTACATCTTCTTCCTCTCATTTTACATCGGGTTGTTATGGCGAGTCTGAGAGAACTCAGGGACCATATTCAAGACTGCATAGCCAGCAGCGAGATAGTGACTCGAAGAGACCTAAGCTGTCTTGTGCACCTACCTCTTCTGTGAGAAGTAATGGCTTGACTGCCTTTTCAGGTGAGAGGTTGATTACTAGAGCTTAGTTACATGAAAATTTTCTGATTAGGAAGAACAGGTTTTGTTCTTCTATACCAGAAGAGTATGCTCACACTGACAGCAGTATCCAGAGTGCTGAGAATGCTGCTAACGTGGTCTTTTGAAAGCTCAGTTGTACTCATGTCATTTCACATTTATTACCTGTACCTATGGCATTTGCAGTAAAGCTAAACTTCCTGGCTCAAATATGTCTGAGTTGGTTAAGATTTCAAGGAATGCATGAGTGTAGCTGCTGTTATTTCGTGAGTCAGATTGTGTTGGTAAACCTACGTGTGCCAGGGTCAGCAGAAAGGAAACCTTTACCTTACTTGGCTCTGTGTTCCAGGACGCAGGATGTCAGGGCTTGTTACAGCACTGCTGGTGGGGGGCGGGGAAGGAAGGCTGCCTCTTCAGTGGCACCCAAACTCCTTCTACAGGCCAGGCAAAAATGAGCACTCTACACTAGGAGCACTTTCATGCTGTGATTTTCATTACAGTTGTAAATAAGTGTGTGATACTTGGATAGATGCAAGTTAAACAATATGTTAATGGAAGTCTAAAGGTCCCGAAATAATGGTCAAAAATTTACACTGAAAATATTGTAGAAATATCTCGAAACAGGCCATCAGATCCATTCCAATTACCCTTGTGAGAATGGATCCATCTTCTTGTATCCCCTTATGGAACCACACAGCCATCCAAATAAAAGCTTAACAATTCCTGCTTAAGACCTAGTACCGGTGATGCTTTCTTACTTTCTGCTAATAAAATGACCACCATTAACGCTTTTCATTATGTTGTAGGACTATTTGTCTTTCCATCTCTAGACTGGTTGGTCATCACAGTGCTGACCAGTGAATGCTTCAGCTGGGATTTATAAGTTAGCAGTAAAACAAAACCAGAGTGGATTTTTCAGAGTCACTGAAGAACACTTTTTTGCAACAAGAGTTTTGCTTGCAACTGAAGTATGTACAGTTTCCTATGCAGTTGTTGGAGTGGTTAGCAAAAGACAAGATCCCTTTTTAAACTGAAGTGTTTCACTTTGGAGTATGAGCAAGAACAGTATTAGTCGTGGTCCTTTAAGTTGTGTCTAAGGTGCATTTAAGCTTCAGCCATCTTTCTTGAAAATGAATTCTAGGAGCATGTCAGAAGCGTCAGTAGAATGGCAGCCTTTACTGAGTCTTAAGCTGCTCTTTTGCCCTATCGTGAAGCTATATTTAATAACTAGTTGCCATTAAAATGCAAGATGCTATTTCTCTTCCTCATCCTGTCCTGTATGAGTGGTACTAGGTCTGACTCTTCACAAAAGGATTCCTTTTTTCCAGACTAGCTTTCAGAACTAACTCATTGCCAGATGAAGTAAGTGCTGGCATCAGCAGAGTGCTACTTACTCTTGGCTTGTTTAACAGTTGCCCACTTGACCAGCTTAGTGTTATTGTTAAACTCACCCTTGATACAGTAGAACCAGAATGCATGCAGAATTACCAGCTTTAATGGGTTTTTAAATGATTACAGAAGCATGGGATTGATTTACTTTTTTTCTTTCTAGATTCCTCTTGGAGGTACAGTAGGATTCCTAGATCTTCATCAGTGATGCTTGGCCCCCTTGGAACGGAGCTGGTGAGAGAACGAAGAGAGTTAGAAAGAAGAACAGATCTGTCTGTTAATAACCTGGTGGATCACAGCTACAGAAACAGTCACTTCCCAGCTTCACCATGTATGTATTACACAGCTGACAGCTGTAAACCATGGCTTGCGCGCCTTTTAGTTTCTTCATGCGTTCTTTCAGTGTTTTCTTCACAACACAAAGCCAAAGGATCTCTTCAGTTTTAAGGTATCCCTTTCAGTCAGCTTGGTTGGCCACTTGGCATGTGTTGGCTGACCCGTCAAAGGATATGTGAGTGGTCTAGCTTGTCGATGCATTCAGTCATAAGGAAGTGGCATCAGTGTTTGCCACTGTGACTGTGTGAAATGTCATTAAGCCTCTTGTTCATCTTACGATCTCGTGTTTTAAGTATGGGAAAAGCAATAATGTCAGTTGACTCATGAAAGGGTTTTCATGAAGGTGGCTGTGGTGCATAGCCTCTTTCTATTTGGGTTCTTGAGTGATTATTTGGGAAAACTGCGAGACCACAGAAAATGAAAATGAATGAATGCATATTCATGTGAGGGGTGAGGTTGATTCAGTGGTGATTGAGGACTAGCAGGGACTTGTGCACTCATTTTCACTTTCTGTTTGGAGTGCAGTGGCCTTTTAGAGCTGTTTCGGAGGAAGCTCATCCTTAGTCTTATCTGCCACCTTTTGCAGATGCATGAGTGGTATTTTATGTACAGAAATTTAAAAAAAAATGTTTTCACTAGTATAGAGGATAAGCAGAAAAGATAAAAACTGTTCCAGGTTCCATCCTGCAGTCTTGCCTTAACAGAAGAGTGTTTTACTGTCATTGTACTCTACGTTTATTTAATAACTGAACTTAGTTCTCACTGTGTTGAGGTACTTACAGAAAATATTCTAAGAATCACAGAATGGTTTGGGTTGGCAGGGACCTTTAAAGGTCATCTGGTCCCACCCCCTGTGCAATGAGCAGGGACATCTTCAGCTAGATCAGATGGCTCAGAGCCCTGTCCAGCATGACCCTGAGTGTTTCCAGGGGTGAGGCATCTGCCACCTGGGCAGCCTGTGCCAGTCTGTTACCACCCTCTGTGTAAGCAGTTTTGTCCTTCCGTCTAGTCTGAATCCACCCTTTTCAGTTTAAACCCGTTAGCCCTTGTCCTGTCACTACAGGGCCTGTTAAAAAGTCCGTCCCCATCCTTCTTAGAGTCCCCCTTTATATATTGAAAGGCCGCAATAAGGTCTCCCTGGAGCTTTCTCTTCTCAGGGCTGAACACCCCATGCGGAGGCCTGAACCCCCCATCTCTCCCAGCCTGTCCCCATGGCAGAGGGGCTCCAGCCCTCAGAGCATTTTCATGGTCTTCCTCTAGACCTGCTCTTATCAGGTCCATGTCTTCCCTGTGCTGAGGGCTCCAGAGCTGGATGCAGTGCTCCAGGTGGGGTCTCACCAGGGTGGAGTAGACGGGCAGAATCTCCTCCCTCGACCTGCAGGCCACGAGGAGGCAGTGGGTGATCAAAAGTACACTTGGAAAGCAGGGGAGGACACAGCAGTGTGGTGATTGTTATCTAATTGCTTGTAGATAATGAAGATAACTGGGGGAGCAGATGAGATCACTAATCCAGAATGGTTAAATCTGACCGTGTTTTAAGACAATTGTGCAGCTGAACTTGTGAACTAACTTGGCTGTTACATTTCTTCAGTGAAAGCAATAGCTACCTAACAGTACTGGGCTGGAACAGTAGGGTTACAGTATTTCTGTATTCTTTTTGAGTTCTTGCTTTCAAACATTATTATGGTCAGATCCACATTGAATTTAGGGACTATTCCATCTCTGTTACTACAAGTCAGTAATTCTGTGCTACCTTTAGGTTGTGTTTGTAACTGCAGCTCTTGCTGCTCACATGATGAGAAGAATAAGGGCAACCTCTGGGGAGTACACTTGGCTGTAGCCATGCATTTGTTTTGGGTGCTCTGGTGTCTGCCACACTGGCGAAATTTTGATTAACCTGTCTCTCAGTCTACAGGCAGAATGGACTTTTAAGTTAGAAATAGTCTTGTATATAGTTCGCTGGTTATATTTCAGGTGCTGTTCTTAACCCAGCTTGTGGCAGGTGATCAGAATTTTCATATTGGCACATTAGAAATGTGTCATTCCTTGATATTCTGAAGATTTAGAAGGTTTAGATTCCAAATGGATTTACCATACTGAAACCAGTCTAGGTTTCAGTTTAACTTTACAATTCTGGTAACTACATTTAAATTTAATGTTGCTCTGGAATCTACCTGCCAAATTTGAAACAATTTTGGGTAAGGATCACAAAATCCTAAACTTGTGCATTTACACTTCATTACCACTGGTTATCCATCTGGAATGGAGTAATTAGAGCATCTTGTCATAGTATTTTCTTCTGCTTTTCTGCACCAGATCTTCCAGACAGGCCTGCCTCTTCATATGCAGAGGGAGCAAGACCAAAAGAGAACTCCTTAAGCACTTTGAGGCTGAATGCGTCCGTGAGCCACCAGTTGCCTTCTGATCATCAGCCATCCTTTTTCAGCGGAGACTCCAACACGAGTTCTTCAAGATCCAGCTATTTTTCAAGACAAAGGAGAAATGAATTGGAATCTCCCCAGAGGAGCATGCAGCCAGCATTTTCTCTTACTGCCATTAGGGATGAAAATCCTTCCACAAGTGGTTCCGAAAGGGTTCTGTCTTCGCAGAGGTCATTGAACGAGCCTGCAGCTGACAGTGAAGGGAGGCGCACGACCAGACAGCTGCTGTCTCGTTTAGCGTCTAGTATGTCATCGACATTCTTCTCTCGACGATCTAGCCAAGACTCCTTGCACACAAGATCAGTAGGCTCTGAAGGGTCATCAGTGGTCCCAAGAGTTCAAGCTTCTGCTCTGTCAAGCAGTAATGGAGCTGCAACTCCAGAAGTTCCAGGGCTTCAGACGTCTGAAGCTTCTCAGGGATTTAGTTTTCTTAGACGAAGATGGGGTTTATCTGGAGTATCACAGAATCATAACTCTGATTCAGATGGGGAAAGTTACAGACCAGACTCTGAAAGTAGGAGCTCAGGATCCTGGTTATCATCATCTTTGAGGAACAGATGTACACCTCTCTTTTCCAGAAGAAGAAGAGAAGGAAGAGATGAATCCACAAGGATCTCAACCTCTGATACATCTGCTAGATCACAACATGTCTTCAGAAGAAGAGAGTCAGGTGAGGAGACCTCTCTTGACACATCAGATAGCCCTCCTCGGGCTTCTGTTAGCAGACCACCACCATCTGCAGTATCTGGTAGTTCTAGAGCTACTGCCTCCCCACCAGAATCAACCCACAGTAGGAGAAGTTCTGGAATGCTGCCTGGTTCTCTCTTTCGCTTTGCAGTGCCTCCAGCATTAGGAAGCAGTCTGTCTGACAATCTTATGATAACTGTAGATATTATTCCCTCTGGCTGGAATCAGTCTGATGGACAAGAGAGTGGCAAGTCTAAAATACCTGCTTCAAGAGATCCAGAAAGACTCCAGAAAATTAAAGAGAGGTAAATTAGTATGTTATTTTGAGATAATGAAATGTACCTGACTTGACATGGGGGGACGTTCTGTAACCATGATGTTAAAGAGCAGCTTTCCTTCAGCGCAGGAGGCAGTTCAGTTCTTTGTCACTTGTGATCTCAATTTGTCTTTAGAGAAACTAGTTTTAATCCTTGTAGGTTTGGGAACAGTTTGATGAATAGAATTGTCTTTATAAGGTCTTACATGAAATGTGTCGCAGCGTTTGGTGATGTTCCTTCCTTCCCACTCAGTCTGCTTTTAGAAGATTCAGAAGATGAAGAGGGTGACTTATGCAGAATCTGTCAGATGGCCTCTGCAAGTTCAGACAACCTTTTAATAGAGCCATGCAAATGCACTGGAAGTCTGAAGTATGTTCACGAGGAGTGCATGAAAAAATGGCTGCAGTCCAAGATTAATTCAGGTAAAGCGGACTCCGGACCAGGGTGGAATCCCAGTTACGTGGGGAGGCATAGCAGGAGGATAACGCTTACTGGTGGTAAGGTATTGATGTGAAGACAAGCAGATGGGGACAAAAACAGTGTGGCACTTCACAGCTTATTGTGTGTCTGTGCAGCCTCTCTTACGAGTATTTCTGTGATGGATTCAGCCAGGAAAGAGTTAACTCTCTTTACCATGGCTGCTGTGAAGCTGTTCCTGGATGCAGAGAGCAGCACTGATCAGGTCTCAGGTGGCACTGGGCAATGCCTGCACTGAATTCAAGGTCTTTCGCCGCTTCTGATCCTGCAGCTGCGTTCTCAGCTCTTGCTGTCTCGCTACAGGCAGTGCAGGGGTCACACAGTTCAGGCACCTGACCCAAATTGACCAAATAAGTATTTCATTCCACAGTACGTCATGCTCGGGGCAGAGGCGAGGAGGGAGTCTGGGAGCCATTACTCTCTCTCCCTTATTCTCTCTCTCTCGTTTACTTCCTGGCACTTGCTAACCCTCTCACTGACTCCTGCGTTAGCTGCTTCGCTAACCCCTGTGCTAACTCACTCAGAAGGGAGTTGGTAGGTTGGTTTAGTTTTCCCGGTCTTGCTATTGCTGATAGGATTTGCCCGGAATCTGCTGTGGCAGCGCTTGGGCTCCAGCTCTCGGCCTGCGATTGCTCTCGGGCTGTGGCTCTCGGGCAATGTGGGTCTGACTCTCACTACTCAG